TTTAACCAGTAGGTGGTTTGGGTTAAAAAGCTGTCAAGTTTACAGTGTTAACAAAATAAAATATACTGCTGTTTCTGGTTTAGTTTACGACGGATATATTTAGTTATTGTTTTGATATTTGTAACACAAAAGCGATGGAAAAAACCCACAGCAACACAGAAAAGATGGTCTTAACATGACCCAGCGGTCTAGTAATTAATAAAAAACAATAATATCAAAACAAAATATTACTACTAACTTTATTGTGAAATTCAAACTGAACGGTAAAAGAATAGTTTCCGGTCTATTCTGAGCCCGATCTCTGTAGATAAATAAAAATAAAGAACTATGAAAGATGTGTAATATATTTAATGCAGCCGAACTATTTATTACAATGCATTCATGTGATGACTTTCAAAGAGTAAAGCGAGCACTGCTGAATAAAGTATGATTTTATCTTTTACGAAAAAAAATTTTACATATGGAATGCAGTTGGAGATCAACCAATCACAGAGCTTGAGAACTAATCACGGGGTTTGTCAAACAGAGCACATGGTGTAGTCCTAAGCGATGGAGATTCTGGGTAGTGTAGTGTCTTCTGCCATCCTTGACTCCGAAAAAATATTTGTTTCTCCGAATCGAAGGGGAAAAATACAAAAGCATTGCACACAATTTAAACCAATCAATGTTGTGTAATTAACAAGGATAATCTGGTGTTTTTTAGTCGATGAGTAGTGCAGATATCACTGTAAAATCAATCAATTCTTTTACCAGCTGTATTCACCTTGCAGGTTCAGCTATGTTGCTTTGATCCTGGATAAAGTGTTTAACTCATGGATGTTTAAAGTCATGGATGTTTAAAGTTTAACTTCTTCATATGTCTAATATTATATATTATAGTTGACTTTTCATTCAGGAAGCATGACGTGCTGTGCTGTCAGTACGCTTGTCCATGTTTGTGATTGGTCCAAATACCACCCCTTTCATGTGAACACGGCACCTAACTAGATAGGACACGGCTAGCTTGAGCGATCCACTTGATAACCCGCGTCGTAGGACTGCCTAGCGAGAGCGCGTATGTTTTGGATAAGGCCAACCGGCTAACTCAAACATATCCAGGTTATGTTGAACCGGCTTCGTAGACGCTGGTCACGAAGCGTCATTTATTGACAGCAGTGCTTCTCTGGCTGGCTCTGTCCAATCACAAACAAGAAGTGTTCTACCTAAAGGAATACCCTTTCCGTCCAATGCGAAATGCTGTGGTGTTTTGTGAAATGCTGTTGTGTTTTGTGAAATGCTGTGGTGTTTTCTGAAATGCTGTTGTGTTTTGTGAAATGCTGTTGTGTTTTGTGAAATGCTGTGGTGCCTTGCACTTCAGGGCCACCGTACTTAAGCCTCAGGCACATTCACATCAGCCTTGTGCAGCCCTGTGTAACCGAACCCTGAAGCATCCCCGTTGGTGCTGTTTGTTTGGGTTAGTGACGTATTCTCTTGTCACAGTGTGAGAAATCAGATCACACGCATCAAGAAAACCAATAAGTTGTGCAAAGAGCCAACTAGGTATTACCAATAATTGTCCACAAGTTTTGCCTTTATGAAAACAAACACAACCATAATATTAAAACAATGTATCGTCCTCACATTGGTTGTATTCATGATCAAAACATTTAGGTGTGAACTCGCCCTAAGTAGCAAGATTGTTGTTTATATACTGTCAGGTATGTTATTCTTAGTGTTATTAAGTAAATGCACATGCAACGGCAAACAGGATGTTTTGATCAGCATATCTGTAAAATAACAAAAAAACATACTTAGAAATGTTTTTTTAAACACTTTTTATCTTCCAATTAATTTCTTTAGACCTTTTCACACTTGTCTTTTTAGATGTTACCATACTTGCGTTCATATTTTGTTTCACAGTGGTGTACAAATATGTGCATTCATGTGCAAATGGAAATGACAATGTTTCAAAAGAAGGGGAAATTAAAGTTCCACAATTAAAATATATTCAATAAAAAAGTATAACAGCAACAATAGCAATAATTAATCAGTGCATAGGACATTCATATCCTGAGATAAATATAGATAAGTAAGCAATGAGTTTAAAAAGTAATATTTAAACTGTTTTCTGAGGAAGAGTATTTATCCAGTATATACTCGGTAATGTGTAACATCAAATGTTTAAATTATAAAATATATTATTATAAATTATAGACATTTGGATCTTACCCTAACCCCAGTAGCAGGTGATTTCATTCTCTGAGTGGTGCTAAGAGTAGAAAAATCCTGTATAAAAGCAGTCCAATTAACTCTGTTTCCTTCATCCTCATTCAAGGTGGTCATACAGTATGAACAACATATAAAGTGGTTTAGAAGTTAGTGCAGCGCAGGAAGTAGCTGTTGTTCAACACGCGGAACAGCCTCCCGGACCTCAGGCTGTACTCAAACATGTATTTTCCACTGTAGATGTAGGTAAAACCTGCAGAACAGAGACTCAATGTTAATTTCTGTATCCTGTTTTTCTTTTATTTCAGTAATCTCGACTAAGAATGCTTTTCACCTCTGTACTGGAAGGCTGCAGTCACCTGGCCGGTCAGTCCGGAGAAAGTCTCATCCACTCGCTTGCTTTGGTCCATAGTCTTTCTGACTTCATCATAACTGAGGAAACACAGTCAGTCATTACACCGATTCACCATTTGAAAACCGTCATCACACGTTAATAATTCACCTGAATAAATGTCACATAATCTGAACTCACCTGTAGTAATCGCTGCCTACAAAGAACAGAGTCTTTCCAGTGTCCACGTCATGAAAGACTGCATCAATTTTCTCCACACCTTTGGCCAGACCAAAACTGGAAATTGGTTTAGGATAGCCGCCTACAAGATCATATCCACTGAAAGCCCAAACCTTCTTTCCTGTATAGAGATAGAGAAAAGAAAAGAGTTTAGTTTATGCATGCAAAGATGAATAATTTCATCTTGAAAACTGTTTTAGGTAAGGAAAACACAAACCTTTAAAGAGATAGACTTTGTCTGAGCTTCGGCTTTCATAAGCAGCGTCAATGTTTGAGGGGCCATCGGGCCAGAAGTTTGTGATGAGACTCTGCTGAGGTGTGCTGCTCTGAGGGTAGCTCCGCCAGAAGAAGCTGAGAACACACAAGAACATGAATGAGTTCATAAGTCAGAACGTGAATGAAGAGAAAACAATGTCAATGGACTTCAGCATTTCGATATTTGAGCTTTCTCCAGGATGTCTGACCTGTCCTTGAAGAAGAACATCTCTCCTCGCAGGGTGGCGACAGCATCCAAGACCATGGTTGAATCACAGGCATCAGGAGTGGTGGGGGGCAGTGGTTCCTCTCCAGAGGAATCCGTATCAGGGCTTGGGCCTGAAGGATAAACAAAATGAGTCACCAAGTATTCAGAAAGCCCAGCATCACAAAGAAAAAGCCCAAACAGTTGGTGCATCCCCAAGA